GGAGCGGCCACTGCACTCCAGTCTGGGCGACAGAGTGAGACTCCAACTCAAAAAAAAAAAAAAAAAAAAGACAAAAAGACAAAAATAACAGATGTTAACAAGCATGCAGAGAAAAAAGAAATCTCATACACAACTAGTGGGAATGTAAATTAATACAACCCCTATGGAAAACAATATGGTGAGTTATTCAAAGAACTAAAAATGAAACTACTAGTTTATCCAGCAATCCCGCCACTGGGTATCTACCCCAAGGGGAAAAATAATAATTATACCAAAAAGAAACCTGCACTCACGTGTTTATCGCAGAATTATTCACAATAAAATGTAGCAAAGAAATAAAATCAACCTAAGTGTCTATCAACAGATAACTGGACAAAGAATGCGTGGCGTATGCATACACAATGGAATACTTACTACTCAGTCATAGAATGTGTGGAATCATGTCTTTTGCAGCAAGATGGATGGAACTGGAGACCATTATCTTAAGTGAAAGAAGCTAGACACAGAAAGTCAAATACTTCATGTTCTCACTTATAAGTGGGAGCTGGATAACATGTGCACGTGGATGTTCAGTGTGGAATAAGAGACAACGAAAACTCAGAAGAATTAAGGGGTATGAGATGTGAGAGATGACTTAATGCACATATCTGGGTGATGGATAAGCCCTGACGTCACCACTACTCACTCTATGCAATTTTGTGCGTGTAACAAAATTACATCCATATCCCATAAATTGATACAACATTTTTAGATTAAAAAGTTTATTTAAGCCGGGCTCGGTGGCTCAGCCTGTAATCCCGCGCCTTTGGGAGGCTGAGGTGAGTGGATTGCCTGAGCCCGCGGGTTCGAGACCTGCCTGGGCAGCGAGACCTCATCTCTACAATAAATCAAAAAATCAGCCGAGCGTAGTAGCACACACCTGTAATTCCGGCTACTCGGAAGGCTGAGGCGGAAGGATCGCCGGAGCCCAGCAGGTCGAGGCTGCGGTGGCCGGGAGCGGCCACTGCACTCCAGTCTGGGCGTCTGAGTGAGACTCCAACTCAAAAAAAAAAAAATTTTTTATTTAAAAAGTAGAGTTTAGATAGGCTCGGTGGCTCAGCCTGTAATCCCGCGCTTTGGGAGGCAGAGGCAAGAGGATTGGAGATCAGTTGGGCAAATGGCAAGATCTCATCTCTACAATAAATCTAAAAATTAGCTGGGCATGGTGGCGCACGCCTGTGGGTCCAGCTACTTGGAAGGCTGAGGCGGAAGGATCCCGGGAGCCTAGCAGGTTGAGGCTGTGGTGACCTTGAACATATCACTGCACTCCAGCCTGGGTGACAAAGTGAGACTCCGACTCAGAAAAAAAACCTCCACCTTGATCTACCTGTGTCTTCCCTTGTGCACAGGCCTGCTAGGATTGCCACAGCAAAATCCCACACACTGGGTGGCTTAAACAACAGATATTTATTGTCTCACAGTTCTAGAGGCCAGGAAGTTCAAAGTATAGGCAGGGTTGGTTCCTGGTGGGGTCTCTTCCTGGCTTACAAACAGCCGCAAGAGGCCATGTCCTCACATGGCCTTTTGTTCATGTGTACTGCTCCTGGTGTTTCTGTCTCTTCTTTTTTTTTTTTTTGAGTTGGAGTCTCACTCACTGCTGGACTCCGGCGATCCTTCCGCCTCAGCCTTCCAAGTAGCCAGAACTACAGGCGCACGCTACCACGCCCGGCTAATTTATTTATTGTAGAGACAAGGTCTCACCAAGTTGCCCAGGCAGGCCTCAAACCCGCGAGCTCAGGCAATCCACTGGCCTCGGCCTCCCAAAGTGCTGGGATTACAGGCTGAGCCACCGAGCCTGGCCTTTTCCTCTTCTTATAAGGACACCTGTCCTGTTGGACTAGACCCCATCCTATGACTTCACTTAATCTTAATTACCTCCTTAAAGGCCCTATCTCCAAATAGAGTCACAATGGAGATGAGGACTTCAACACAGGAATGTTTGAAGGACGCACTCCAATCCACAACATCCCTCATCACTCATTTTCCCCCAGAACAATCAGAGTCATGTTTAAAAATATAGCTCCAGCTGGGCGCAGTGGCTCATGCCTGTAATCCCAGCATTTTAGAAGGCTGAAGCAGGAAGATCACTTGGGGTCAGGAGTTTGAGATCAGCCTGGGCAACACTGTGAGACCCCCATCTCTACAAAAAATAAAATAAAATCAATTAGCCAGGTGTGGTGGCACATATCTGAAGTCCCAGCTGCTCAGGAGGCTGAGGCAAGAGGATCACTTGAGCCAAGGAGTTTGAGGCTGCACTCTAATTATGATCGTGTCACTGCACTCTAGCCTGGGTGACAAAATGAGTCCCTGTCGCAAAAAAAAAAAAAAAAAACAAAGAAGAAGAAGGTACTGTGGCCACTGAAGCAAGACACTAAGCTGCTGGCTTTGAAGAAGCAAGAAAAGTGACAAGCTGGATGTGAGGGCAAACTGGCTGCGACATCTGTCACCCCATTGATCGCCAGGGTTGATTCGACTGACCTGGCTGACTAGGTGGGTGTACCCTTCCCCTTCCTCCCTCACCGCTCCATGTGTGTCCCTCCCAAAGTTGCGCACTCAGTCGGTCAAAGAGGACGACCATCCCCGCTAGAAAAGTGGCAAACTGAGGAACGCAGCTGTAGAGGCTGGAAAAAGCAAGACACCAGATTCTTCCACTACATGGGAACATGGCCCACCTTGGTTTCAGCCGCCTGAAACTGGTTTTGTTTTTCTGACCTCGAGACTATAAAAGAAACAGTTTCTGTCTTCTACATCACTAAATGTGTGGTCATTTGTAAATGTCACCATAGGAAACTTATACGTACCCCCAAAGGCAAGACCCCAATTCCCTTTTTCAAAGGCTTTCCATTTAAAGAAATTAAAATGCAGTTCAAATTGGTTTGAACAACAGGGAAAAGCCATCAGGCCCACGGACACGTTGGGATGTTAGACTGGGTTTCCATAACAGACTCGGAACAGAAGTGGCTTAAACAAAGCAGAATTTCTTACCTAACAGTCTTCATATAAGCGATTCAACATCTCCTCAAGTGGAAAACCTTCCCCAGCACGTGGGCGGGGGTTGGCCCTGTCCTAGGTGAGGCAGCAGCAGATCAGCCTCCCTTTCCAGTAAAAGCTGACTCCAGGGAGGCTGGGCTTTCCTCTGGTATCTTATTTTGCCTGATAACACAGAACCTTCCCAACCTGCGTGAGGGAAGCTGTGACTGTACATTCTAGAGACGGGAAAATGGAGACTTGCTTGAGAAGGAAGAAAGAGCCCGTCAGTTCAGCAAACACCTCCTAAGCACATGCAGGAATCATCAGGCTCCAGCCAGATGTGGAGGCCAATCTAGATATGGGGAGTGGGGAAAGAGAAGAAGGAAGAGGGAGGGGCAGGCAAATAGATCAAAAGGACTCACCGCGTCTACCGTCAAGAGCTTCTTGGAGGTGGGTGGGCCTTCTAGGGTAAGGCAAAAGCAATGAAAGTTGGATGGCCTCACGTTATGCGGGTAAGCAC